ATTTGATATTCATGCTTAGTAAGTTCATTTATATGATTAGCCAATAACTTAATATCATCCTGCGTAGCTGTCCCAAAGAGAGATTTCGAGAACTCTCTAATAAAGGGTAGCAAGGATCTTTTGGATCTACTTATAGGCACCTGTCTTGTTTGAGGTATTAATTTCTTTATTAGCGACACCGTTTCGTTGATATTAGTCAATGTTTTTATTTTTATAGCATTAACATCTTTCAGTAACTGATGACTTAGCAGACACGTTTTCTCGTTCTTAACACACCTGGGAAATTCAGGAATACTCTGGGTGGTAGGTAGTGGTATTTCAAACGTATGGACCCAATTTTCCACTCCGAACGTCACTGTCTTGGGATTGGCTTGCCGGAATATTACCCCGTAATTAATTCGTTGTATAACATCAGTGGCGAAGACCATGTGGGGGCAATTAGCAAAGAATACCAGTAAAATTATCCATAATTTTGAAAATAGGCCTAGAAAAAAATAAAAAGGTAAAAAAATAAGAGACGTAGCTAAGCTATATTTTTTTGTGAAAAATTGGGTGCACGCCAATAATTCTAGCACTAATAAACATAGACGAATCTATAATTGTTTAGCTTGCTACATTTCATAAAAAAAAATAATCAATAAGGGAGGGGGGGGGGGTCACTGATGTTGTTAAACGTGTATGATTTCAAGGTAATTTCCTGATAAATTTGCTCTGCGCTGAGCGTTTTCTAGCCTTTCCCAAATTTGTTTTTCGCTCATGAAAATCATTGCGGATGTAGAGAGGAATATTCATAAATGGCTCCCACGTCCTACTGTTATCCGACCAGAGTATAAGGTATTCCTTTCGATTGTTACGTATTTTAGACTGCATAATCTTTTTCATGTCATATAATTTATCGTCATCATTATTTACTGAAGGAGTCTGTGCTTGACGAGGTGGAATCTTAACCTGAGATTGGATCTGATTTTTGACATTCTGATTAGGGATGTCCACTTTATTCTTGGCCTTGAAATGTATGAGCTTCGACGCGTTAGTAAAACCTTTGTTGATTTTATCGTTTTCCGCATCTTGTAATTTGTAAGTAAAATTAGGTCCTTTTTGAATAATGACGTACGGTCCGATATATTTTTGTTGTAATTTAGGAGACAATCCTTTAACTTTCTTTTCGTTTTTCAACAAGACCCATTCGCCTACTTCATATCTTGGGATTCAAGAATCTACTACCAATAAAATGTGCTTATACCCCTCTGGACTTTCAGGTAGTGGACCAAGGAAATCTATATGAAGTCTGGAAAATGCTGCTTCGATAGGCATGGGAGTTAAAGGGACTTTACTATGCGCATTGTTTTTTGTTCGTTGACAAATTTCACAATTGGAAATGTAGTCATTCACCGTGTCATAAAGTTTTGGCCACCAATATTTTTGCATGATTGCTAACCTAGTTGCTTCCCTACCTTTATGGCAACTCCCAGCTAAAGAATTATGATACGATTTTAGCAAGTCATCTCTTAGTATCCGAGGAACTGCAATTTGTTTGACGGTGGTATTCTCATCCGTCTTTGCACGTGGATGGGGGAAATGACTTAATATACCATCTACTAGTTCGTATTCAAAAGACCTACAAACAATGGTTCTTACTAACTTTTCGTCATATGTTTCTGGGATATACCCATCCTCCAAATATTGAAATATATCTTTGAAATCGGAACATTCCCTTTGTAAATTGACGATATCAGAATCTCCCAAATTTGTTATTGTTATACTATTGATTTCCGCTGTGGATTCTGGCTTGTCCTGCGCGTATGTAAATTCGACTTCTATGCAATCGTCCTTTGACATTACCGGTATTTCTAAATTATTGATTGAAGGTATGTCATCAATGCTTTCATTGACAGGTTTTTCGGGATACATTCTTCGCCACTGAGCGTCTACATTTTGATTTTTCTTTCCTGGTCTATGCACAATTTCGTATTGGTAATCTTGAATTTGGATTGCCTACCTAAGAAGTCTATTTGACGTGTGCTTTGTATCTTTGAGCCATGTTAAGGCTTTGTGGTCAGTTATGACTTGAAAAGGAGAAGAAGCCAAATAAACTCTAAATGTTTTGATTCCTTCCAAAACGGCTAAGCATTCTTGTTCGGTAACTGCCCATTTTTTTTCAAAGGGATGCAAAGACCTACCGCCGTAATGAATAACGTGCTCGCGTCCGTCTTTATCAATCTGAGAAAGAATGTAACAAAGCGCGAAACCGGAAGCGTCAGTTGTCAATATAAACGGTTTGGACATATCCGGAAAAGATAGGTGGCGACACTAACGTCTTTTTTAAAGTTTCAAAAGCATTTTGGCATTTATCTGTCCATTCAAATTTTATATCTTTTCGTAGTAAATCATTCAAAGGTTGTGCGATATGTGAATAATTAAAAATGAATCTTCTGTAATAGTTACAAAGGCCTAAAAATTGTCTAATCTCATGCTGGTTTTTTGGTACTGGAATAGTTTGTACAGCTTCGGTTTTCTCTTGGTTAACTGAAATTCCATCTTTACTAAAAATGTGTCCCAAGTACTTAACACTTTGTGCTGCAAATTTACACTTATTAGGCTTTAGTGTCACACCCGCTTTGCTCAATTTTTGGAAAACATTTTTAAGATGTTGAATGTGTTCGCGGAAATTTTTACTAAAAATGATGATATCATCGACGTAGACAAGAGCGTACTGCCAATTCATGTCGCGTAATATTTCAGTCATTACCATTTGAAAAGTCATTGGAGCGTTACTTAATCCGAAAGGCATTCGCTTCCATTCATACACGCCATTTTGTGTAATGCTGCCTTGTGTCTTGTACTTTCATCCATTTCTAATTGCCAAAATCCACTCGCGCAGTCTAATACTGAAAATATTTTTGCTTGTGCTTCCCCAACAGAATCTATGACGTCCTCAAAGCGTATTATTGGAAAATAATTTGGTTTAGTAATTTTATTTAATTTTCTGTAATCTACAGCGAATCTCCATTCTCCGGACTTTTTTTTAACCATAATGACCGGTGACCGCCAGGGTGAGTTGCTTTCAACGCAGATATTGTTGTCAAGCATTTCTTTTATTTGCCGCGAGGTTTCCTTTCTAAGTTCGGCCGATTGTCGATAAAATTGTGAACGTACCGGACCTTCGTTTTCCATAGTATCTATGACGTGTTTGTAACCCTTTGTTTTACCCAATTCTTTAAGATTCTTCGCAAATACGTGTCGATTTGTATTCAAAAATGACAATAATTCCCGTTTCTCATTATCCGATAAGTCAGAATCTGTTCATTCATTTTCACGAGATTCCTCGGATTTTAAAGACATGACATTACCGCCAGGATTTGCAGGCGTGCTATGTTCATTGTCTAATAAGTCCATTATAGAATTCTCTTCAATATTATTTATATTTTTATTTGTGGAGTTTAATAAACGTAGCACAGCCTTTCCTTCCAATGGTTGAACAAGACATCTAGCTCCTACAATACCTTTTTTTACAAGAATGGGATTTGGTTCTAATAAAACTGCGTTACAATAGTTAAAATTTGCCAATCTCACAGGTACGTCAACGTGATGACGAGCTTTAAGTGTGATAGATTTTTGGGGTCTAACTTAGCCTATGTTGTTCGATATCAATGCTATGTCAGGTATTCCCTCATCAAATGACACAATACGTTTACTTATATCTATTTTTGTAATACTCGATTCTACTAATCGTATTGATCCGATATAAAAGGATATAATTCTAAGTCAAAGGTTAGAATAAAATATATAATAGTTTAAACAATTAAAATATACATAGAGGCTTACCTGAATATAAGAGAGATCCAATATTGTCGTTTCAATGTAATTTATTAAGTGAAGATAATGGTGAAAGTTTAGCTAGATATATTTATATCTTCCAAAAATCCCGGCAAATATTAGAGATGCCACGTGTTGGATTAATCTCATTTTTTGATTGGTGGAAGACCATTTACGGAAGACGCCCATTACTCGATACGAAATCTGATTGGCCGGATCTAGACTCGCTTGACTTAATATGTCAGGTAACGACTACCCGAGTAATAGCGTCAGTGTAATCCTAGGTATTGTTTTTAAAGTTAAAGCTGTCACCATTAATCTTACTTAATTACTTTAAAATAAACAACCAATAAAGGACCCTCTATTCAAGTTCTTCTATATCAGTATACAATTATATAATATGCTTAAGATCTATTGACACCAAATCAGCGTCAAGGTTGATTTATGCAATATAGACTCGACGTCTTTAATAAACATATATACATTTAAAATAAACTATATAATCTATAAAATATACATTTTTTTAAAATGCATAAGAATAAAATATCTAAAATAAAATATATTGCATATTTTGTCAATGTACACTGTTACACTATTTGAGAACGAGCGGCGGCCATTTTGTCTGTCAATTTTAGGCCGATTTTCACAAAATTTGAACTCAGTCATCCTTATGGTGTAACGGTGATATAATAATACGTTTTTTTAAATCGGATACAAATTATGACCTCTATAGTGTCCACAAGCTAAAAATGCGATTTTTCGTACAATCAGGGGCCATAATTCAGGAAGTTACAGTCCGATATGCGCGAATATCGACAGGAACCGAGATCTTTGGGTTATAAACTTACATTTCAAGTTTCAACAAAATCGGATAAAAATTGTGACCTCTATAGGGTCCACAACCTTGATATACCATATTTTTTACGCTATTTGAGAACGAACGGCGGCCATTTTGTCTGTCAATTTTAGGCTGATTTTCACGAAATTTGAACTCAGTCGTCCTTATGGTGTAACGGTGATATAATAATATGTTTTTTTAAATCGGATAAAAATTAGGACCTCTGTAGGGTCCACAAGCTAAAAACGCGATTTTTCGTAAAATCAGGGGCCATAATTCAGGAAGTTACGGACTCTGTAGGGTCCACAAGCTAAAAACGCGATTTTTCGTAAAATCAGGGGCCATAATTCAGGAAGTTACGGTCCGATATGCGCGAATATCGAAAGGGTTTTTCTCTCCTGTGTTGCTGCAGACCACTAGTGAAGGATTCAATGCAAACATCAAAAATGTGAATTTAACCACAAAAATCACATTGAAGAAGTTTTTCTCAAGTATGATATTTCATGTGTCTCTGTAGGGTAAAGGGTCTACTGTATGATTTACTACAAACACCACATTTATATGGTTTTTCACCTGTATGAGTTCTGGTGTGGTTCTGTAGAGTACTACTATCAGTAAATGATTTACTACAAACATCACATTTATAAGGTTTTTCACCTGTATGACTTCTCGTGTGCACTTTAAGATAAGATGTGGTTCTAAATGATTTCTTACAAACATCACATTTATAAGGTTTTTTACCTGTATGAATTTGCATGTGTTTCTGTAGATGACCGTTATTAGTAAATGATTTGCTACAGACATCACATTTGTAAGGTCTTTCACCTGTATGAATTCTTATATGGTACTGTAGTTGACTACTATCAGTAAATGATTTACCACAAACATCACATTGAAAAGGCCTTTCACCTGTATGTATTCTCATGTGTTTTTGTAGAGTACTACCAGTAGTAAATGATTTACTACAAACATCACATTTATAAGATTGTTCATCACTATGAATTCTAATGTGTATTTTTAGATTTCTATTTGAAGTATAGGATTTACTACAAACAGTACATTTAAAAAAGTTTTTTCTGTTATGAATTCTAATGTGTGTTTGTAGATTGCTACTGGAAGTAAATGATTTACTACAAACATCACATTTATAAGGTTTTTCACCAGTATGAATTCTGATGTGTTTCTGTAGATCAAAACTTCTAGTAAATGACTTAAAACAAACATCACATTTATAAGGTTTTTCACCTGTATGAATTCTCCTGTGAGTCTGTAGATTACTACTCTGAGTAAATGATTTACTACAAACATCACATTTATAAGGTTTGTCTGCTGTATGTGTTTTTATGTGTTTATGTAGATTACCACTAGCAGAGAATGTTTTACTACAAATATCACATTTATAAGGTTTTTTACCAGTATGAATTCTGATATGTCTCTGTAGGTCTCCATCCCGTGTGAATGATTTATTACAAACATCACATTTAAAGGGTTTTTTACCAGTATGAATTCTGGTGTGCTGGTTTAGAGTACTATTATCTCTGAATGATTTACTACAAACATCACATTTATAAGACTTTTCTACAGTATGAATTCTGATATGTCTCTGTAATTGACTATTCCGAGTAAAAGATTTACTACAAACATCACATTTAAAAGACTTTTCTACTGTATGATTTCTCATGTGAATTTGAAGGTAATATTCATTAATAAATGATTTGTTACAAACATCACATTTCTTAGACTCTTGTGAATTGTGTTTTTCTTTTTCAGCATTCTGGCTAAAACTTGTCTCTATTTTTCTATCATGCTGTAAAACAGACTCCCCATCTTTAACATGATTTTCACAGTGTTTTTCTAAATCAGTTTCTAATTTAAATTCTTCATCACACAAATCACACTGATAGCATGTTTCAATATCATCAGTTTTCTCTTCTTTAACATGACAATATTCATCTACGTCATCAGTTTTCTCTTCTTTAACATGACAATATTCATCTACATCATCAGTTTTCTCTTCTTTAACATGACGATATCCATCTACGTCATCAGTTTTCTCTTCTATGGCATGCACTTTGTAGTGGTTTTCGAAATCATCAAATTCTGGAAAAATTTCATCACAAATTGTACATTGATGAAAGGATTTAACATCAACAGTTTCCTGCAATATATAAAAGTTTTAAGATTATTAGTTTCCTGTAACATATAACAAGCGGTTGCCATGCAAGATACGCCCACATTTTGCAAGAGATGGACAGAGAACAAGCTCAAAAAAAGAAGTGATTTTTTCGTACAATCAAGGGCCATAATTCAGGAAGTTATGATCCAATATGTGCGAATATCGAAAGGAACCAAGACCTTAGGGTGTAACGGTGATATAATAATACGGGTTTTTAAATCGGATAAAAATTATGACTTCTACAGGGTACACAAGCTAAAAACGCAATTTTTCGTACAATCAGGGGCCATAATTCAGGAAGTTACAGTTGGATATGCGCGAATATCGAAAGGAACCGAGATCTTTGGGTTATAAACTTACATTTCAAGTTTCAACAAAATCGGATAAAAATTGTGACCTCTATAGGGTCCACAACCTTGATATACCATATTTTTACGCTATTTGAGAACGAACGGCGGCCATTTTGTCTGTCAATTTTGGGCCGATTTTCATAAAATTTGAACTCAGTCGTCCTTAGGGTGTAACGGTGATATAAAAATACCTTTTTTTAAATCGGATGAAAATTATGACTTCTATAGAGTCCACAAGCTAAAAACGCGATTTTTCGTACAAACAGGGGCCATAATTCAGGAAGTTACAGTCCGATATGCGCGAATATCGAAAGGAACTGAGATCTTTGGGTTATAAACTTACAATTCAAGTTTCAACAAAATCGGATAAAAATTGTGACCTCTATAGGGTCCACAAGCTAAAAACGTGACTTTTCGTACAAACAGGGGCCATAATCCATGAAGTTTCGATCCGATACATGCCAATATCGAAAGCCGCAGAGATTTTTTGGGGATAAAGCTATATTTCAAGTTTCGTCAAAATCGGACAAGAATTGTGACCTGTAGAGAGTCCACAAACAAATTGTGGACGGACGGACAGGGGCGACGACAATATACGTCCACATGAAAATGTGAGCGTATAAAAATTATAACATCTTTAGTTTCCAGTAATATATAAAAGTTATAACATTATTAGTTTCTGGTAATATATAAAAGTTATAACGTCAAGTTCAACAGGTCAAAATATATCGTATCCGGAAGCTGGTTGAGGCTGCAAGTTCAACATTTGTAATGTCTGTCAAGTCAAAGACCACTTCTATTCCTTGCCATGGAATGTTATTCACGAATTTCAATGTTAATAATAATCTTTAGTACTACCCATTAGGAAATAAATGCAATATACGGTTCCATGTCCACATATATCAAAATACATTTGATTGACTCTTCCACATACCCATGGCAACTAAGTTTGTTGTTCGGTGAAAAAATCAAAAATGCCTTAGAAATACAATGTATCATGTTGCAGTTTATCCTAAAAATGGTGCAGAACGGAGGGCCTGACAAGGACAGCTGTCTAGTCCTTCAGATGAGATGAAAAACTGAGGTCCCGTGTATACATTGGCAGTTGGAATTCAATATAAGAGTAGGTGATAGTGCCGCTGCCCGGGCAAAATTTCCCTCATAACACACTGTATGGCGTATGTCCGTCTTCATTAGCCCAGTATAGGAGCAGAACAGTAGGACGTTAAACCAGGTCTAGAAATTTTTCATTTTTTGCGAGAATCTAAGAGGATTCTCATATATGGTATCTGAGCGAATCCTCCAAATTTTAATTAATAATACTGTCTAAAAAACAAAATTGTGTTTATTGTGTTAATCTAAAACATCAAAATACAAGAACAATGATAAAAATAAAATAACCAGATGGATTTTTTGGTGAACACTTAAATAGTGTCAAAAGTAATATTCAGTAAATGCCTTATCCAAACTAAGTTGATATGGCACCATGGCATTTCTTCATAGCACAATTTATAGTCTTTTGTCCATCACGTAACTATAATTCACGTAACTTGCAAAAGTTTTTCTTCATTCGTCGCTGATAGACAAACAGCACAATGACAACCACAACTGAAATTGCTATAAAATAAAATTCTGTACAACAATGATATATCCGTCAATAATATATTTAAAATTAAGCCTATGTCAGCATGTGTATAAAATAAAAAATCGGTAAACGCTATTTAGATCTGGTTTATTGACCTAATTCCAACCGATTTGTCACATGTCATTGGAATTGAGATTCTGTCGGGAAAATACCCACTGTTTTTCTTTCCGTGTACCAGGGCTTCCACTTCAAAATTTTCCCAACCGGTCATTTTTCTCATGGAGAAAGTGGTGCTATTTTTAGCACATAATAAGAAGCCAAAAACTTAATGCTATCAGAATGTCGATCGGTTTTAATTGGGTCAAGGACAGTCACACAAAAATTCAATCTCATATCGACATTTCTACCCACCCATCTCCCTAATAAATAAAAGAACACATGTAATCAATTATTATCATTTATTTATACATTCATAAAATATAATAATACAATATACATTCATTCACCGATAGGACACTATTTTCGTAATTTATTTACAACATCACCCGTATATACTCGTCAGTTTTTACAAGATTTCCATTTCTGTAAAGAACATGCTGGTTGGAATTCGGCAAGTGGTGGTCCCTCCATAGAAATCCTCATTAGTTCGTCAAGGGTTTTCATTCTCAAAGAACATCGTAACTTGGTTTTTATTACATTTTGGCGTGAGAATCCGCACTCACAATCAACGCTACTAACGGGCAAAACACGACCAATCTTAATCAGGCGAATCATATTTGGATACTGGTCGGCCAATCCTAATGTTGTCAATCGGTTTAGTAAGTCGCTATAACTCAGCGTGGAGTAATTTTCTTTGACCATCGTCTTGAAGACGGACTATTCTCCCTCCGCTTCAAGGCGATTTATCGGCAGGCTAACACCAGTGGTTGATGACTGTCTGCTGTCGCAAAAATGTTCTAATAATATTGATAGCTCTTTCTTTTGTCCCAAATGTTGGTAGTTGGGCATTGTCCGGGTAGTTTTTGGGTGAAAAAATCCGGAATGCAGCCATTTTAGTATTGTCGGGGAACCTGTCGGTTATATTATTGACAACTGTTTTTACGACAGAGATGACGTCATCTTGCAGACACTCGCCATCCTTTTCCTTCTGTAATTCTTCCCCCATATATGTGTTGTTATCTCTCGTATCTTCTAGGAATTGTAACAATTTTGGACCGTATATTGGAGTTTCTCCCAGGTATGTAGATGTCAGGGAGGATAGGAAGATATCAACGTTTATCTTCATGTTCTCGTAAGAGAGGTCTCGAGCTTGCAGACAACGGCTCAGGGCACCTATACTGCTAAACAGATCGCATAAAAAGGCCGTATAAAACATGAAATTATATGAACAGATAGTATGACATATAGACCAGGCATTTATGTCTCTATGGGCTTCGTCCTTAACAACTTTCAACAGAGAAGGCATTGTATTTGTGTGTACGTATTCAGTGTTCTACCAGGGGATTATATTCATTGAAGATTTAAATTTACCTAACAACTGGTCAGTGAATCCATCAATGTATGATCCAGTTATTATTTCAATATTTACTGGTACCTGGAATTCACACGGACGGAGCGTAAAGACATGCGATTCGCAAACCATGCCGAGATCATCTTTATTCGCCATGTGGTGTATTTTACTGAACCTATCATGAATTATCAGCAAGCGTATTTTGTTTTTTTTACCGGATTATCAAAATCACCTTTAAATGTGCTAACGTAACGTAAGCTCTTGCAAGAATCCTTGCGCGAATCAGATTCAGAGATTCACGTGAATTTCTATCCCTGTACACCACATTTGCCAATAATGAAATACATTTCCTATAAATAGTAACAAAAGCAGAAAAAAATGAGTTAATTTTCTTGTAATCATTCACGTTAATTATTATTTAAAAATTTGTTCCGATTTCAAAGCTAATTTTAGTGTCTTAGTACGACATATAGATATGGCAAACCTTATACCAAATTAATCCTCATTCAATTTTCTTTCAAAAAATGACACGAAACTGTGGCAATCTTTACTGATAACAGTCCGCAGAGCACGCGAAATACAGTGGTAAAAGACAAAAAACGTAAACAAACCAGTCTACTACTGACCCCATAGAGTGTTTATCAGTGTCGATATTCAGCAAAATGTTTATATTTAGAATGTTACTGAGATATTAATCTTTATACGTTTTATTTTTTATCAACCTATGGGTTAAATTAGATAGATTATTTTTTGTTTATTCTGCCAGTATGCAGATCAAGTGTTTGATCGGCATTCCGATGGCTAGCACACTCAGTTGTTGTGAAAATGAAAATTAACTAAAAGTAAATTGGACACTCATTAACAAATGTGAAAGAAATTAGTGCTAGATACACAAGATTACACTACGTGTCTGGAGTTTGAGACTAGAAACACCGAACACCGTGGAAAAACACTCTATTTCACGGTGGAATCTCGGAGAATCGCTAGCGAAACGGCAGCTTGCCAAATCACCGCGAAATAGGGTGTTTCACGGTGAATTATAGTGTTTCGCGGTGGAACACGGTGAATCGCTTGAGTGCCGATATCATCCCGATGTAAGCATGTTGACGGAAAATGTAATTTATTTAAGTTGAATACAAGATATGTTAACCGTTGGCGAGGCAGCTACGGTCGTATTTTTTTATTTCTAACACACTGTACATGTATAACGTGGTGCCACCGTGTACGGCGTATGTAAACAATGAATAACTTACAACGTATCATTTCATCTTATTGGCTGCTACCAAATCCAAACTTTGAATTATATACGATGAGATTTTACACACTACTTCATTACTCGCAGCTTTAGTTAAACTAAATCCATAAAGCACAACGCCATAAATCACTTCCGCAATGTGGTTAACCGTTAGTCACGTGGTCTGAAACGCGCGAAAACATGAGATGTTGGGTTCGACACGGGGACTATATTCTTAGCAAATCTTGACTGTCACCGGTACATAATAACAATGTATTATGACGCATTAAAACAATATGGGTGGGAAGGGGTACTGTGACAATATACATCTACTGGGTGCCCCTCATTTCATTTCGGTAGAAGCGGATATTAAATAAAGCCATTTCACACAGACGCGTACATGGCATATATTTATACAATGGCCACACGTGTGTTAATTCTCGTCATCACCCCGTTATAATTTACTTATTTTGAGTACACTTCTGAATGATTCCATTCCTTCGTACGTTCAACTTCCCGATTTTCTACTGCATATACATATCAGCAGCTCAAAAGCTATACTAGACGGTGTAAGCGCAAGTTTCGTGATTGAACCTGCATCGATATTGCATAATAAATCCATAACCGACAATTAAAGAGATGTTTTGGGTAGCATTTTATTCTTTTGGTTCCATTGTCATGATTTTTATTGAAAATCGAAAGTAAGTTAATCATGTAATACAAATGTACAACGTATACAAATCATAATATTTTACAGTCAAAATTAAATAATCATACAATATATTCTTTTGGTTCCATTGACATGATTTTTATTGAAAATCGAAATTAGGTTAAACATGTACATGTAATACATATGCACAATGTATACAAATCATAATATTTTACAGTCAAAATTTAATAATCATACATGCACTAAAAGTGAATTCATTTTTTATTGCAGTTAGTACATGTATTTACTCACATAAAGTCTTGACACTTGGTAAACAATGTATTCAAATCCATCGCAAACACCTTTTTTTTCTTCTTTTTAAAAAAATATTTTGTCTACACACACACATAAAATGTTTGTTTTTTTCTATTTAAAAATTTTTTTGTCTATACACACATAAAATTCATTTTCGTCTTAGAAATTCGTTAATCTTTACGACCACGCGCTCTTGCCAGGCATGTTTTTCTTGCACTTGAGGATAATGATGTAAAACATATCTTACGACGAATGATTTCCGTCGTGTATCGAGTTCTAGCTTATTGCATCTACCCCCACCGAAATACGAATATTTCTGCCGTAAGTTGTCGGGTCCGGTCAGTTCCGGAAAAAGTCTTTGTACTATTTTAGTTGCGAAATGGCCGGCATTAAAAGCATGGAGGTGCATGGCGTTCAGATCTTCAGCAGAAATACGAAATTCCGGTGGGATATCACCAAATTTTGATGTGTCAGTTTCAGGCGTTGGCAGCGTCTGTGTGGCGGGCTGGGGACTAGGTACTGGTGGTATCTGCTGATCTTGTCCCTCGCCATGAGGGGGGAGTCTCTGTAGTATCAACAAAACAAGATTATTCATATCCTTTAATTCTTGTCGCAGTCCCTTGACTTCTAGTTGTAGTTCATGCTGCTTTTTATTCATTGTCTTCATGTACCTTTCTACTGCTGAGAGTGTTTTCTGCCTGTTCCTATTAGGTGTCCTAAAAAGCTGCCTACATGTAATTTCACAATCTTGTAAATCTGGCAGGGCTTGCAGGAGGGACTGTTCTTCAGACGTAGAGGGCGATTCGACATCTCGGGGTACTGTTACACGTACGGGCACTGGTATTCTTGATGATGCCTGGAAGACTGATTCTGGTGTTGAGCTAGTTGAATAGGAGCTCGAGGATACATTAGAAATTGACAGATCACGTGGGTCATTGGAACTGAAACTTTCTAGCGTCGTTCGACGGATAACTGATGCCATTTTCTGAAAAGACAAGAGAATAAAATATATTTATTTTTATTCATTCAACAACACTTCAATATTTTGAGGGTTAAAGAATTGGACTTTTAATATTTAATAATGACATCAGATGAAAAAAAAGACAAATAAGTTTGAACTGCTTGTCTCAGATGCACTATATAAATCTGTACTACATTGCTATTATGGAAAATGGCTGCGAGTTTTAATTTTAAAATATTTTCCAAAGTACTCGCTTGTTTTCTAAGCTGAACATGAAATTAAGAGACTTGGGTTAATTAATTTACTGATAAGAACTCTAACACTTAGCAGTAACTTTGTGTCTGACCTCAGCCATTTCTTAATTTGTCACACCATGGAATAGACACGGCACATTGACATGTCACTTGTTAATTAGACTGAAACCATTTGAATATATAAATATGATGACACGTGTGCGCATGTATATTTTTTGCATATCTGTTCATGTGTATTGTCGTAGTCGATTCCTCCATAAAACCCAAGAAACCAGTAGCTCAATTCATAAAAATGCCTGCTACTCGTATACCACACTTGGATAAATTAAAAATTGTTGAACTCCACAAGAAAGACTGGAAGTGTTCTGCTATACATAGATACCTTAACCAATCTAATGTGAATGTGTCTTTGTCCGGTGTAAAATATACGGTAACCGCATATATTGAAGGACGATTTGACAACAAGTGCGTATTGACTGAAAAAACCCACCATTTTAACAACTTGTGTTCCGATGACATAGTATTTATTGATAACGAATTTCAACAGAACCCAGCACAGTCTGCCAGGGATATCCAGAAAACACTTTCAGCACACGGCACAGACACCTCGATTAGTACAGTCAGACGCGCCATTGATTTTGCCGGTTATACATCAACGAAACCACGATATTGTCAACTAATCAGAGACCAGAATAAAGAAAAAAGGGTTGAATTCTGTAGACATTTATTAGAGACCAATGACCAGTTTGATAATGTGATATTTACAGACGAATGCTCAATACAACTACACGATAACAAAACAGTTGCATATAGACAAAAAGATCAGAGAGCACCACAACAGTGTCGCCCAAAACACCCATACAAAGTTCACTTGTGGGGGGGTATTAGTCGTAAAGGAAAAAGCCAACTTCTTATATTTGATGGTATTATGGACAGTGTTTTCTATACAGAGGAAATTTTAAAAAAAACTTTACTACCATTCATAAATAAGAGATTTCACGATGGACATCGCTTCCAACAGGATAATGATCCGAAGCACACATCCCGACTTGCAAAAACATTTATGGAGGACAATAACATTAACTGGTGGTGCACCCCCCCCCCCCCCCCGAAAGCCCAGACTTAAATCCAATCGAAATGGTGTGGAATATGCTGAAGCGCTACGTATCGAAAAAGAACCCCACCACAAAAGAAGAACTCTGTAATTACTGCCAAGACTTTTGGTACAACGTGCTTACGCGTGACATATGTAATCGCTTTATTGATCACATGTACAAGGTTGTTCCGGTTGTTGTGGTGGTGGGTGGGAAAGCCACGGCTGATATGCCTAAAAGACTTTTTGGGTCCGAACGTTCATTCGGGAAGGACAGTAATCATTTTAATCAAAAACTCCTAAACGACCCTAAAGTCAGAAAACGATTGCAATAAAATTATTAAATTGTTGTATATTTTTGTTATGTTGTTTTTGTGAAAACTATTTACCTTTCTTTTCGGTTGGGGTAAGCGACTCGTCGTTAAGGTACGCTTTGGTGTCGGGATTGTACTGGGGTTCTTTTGATGCTCATCTTTCTTCTTTTGTCCCATCTCCCTCTTTAGCCTTGACAATGTCAAGTAGTCTCCAGTCTTTATAATAACAGCGTCAGACACATCTTCGGGTTTGTTATATTGCACCTTGTACTTCCCATTCTCCGCAATCCTACCCTCTTCTAATATCCTACTTCTGGGAACAACCAGTAAGCCACCGTCGTCAAACTTAACCAGATAATGCGAGTACTCCTTGGTTTGATTTCTCCACATGATGCCGTATTGAATTAATGATAACCTGTCGTATTGAATAATCTCGAAATAAACCATTCGACTATAACCTGCCATTTATACGTACAAGGTATCGGCAAAAGTTCTTTGATTCTATTTACTCCAATTAATTTTATATAAAACAAACGATAATACTTCTCAACCACCAAGCTAAGAGACAAAGGCTTTCGACAAATCTACAGGAAGCCATGTCATTGTTTAAATTTGACCCATTCAGGTGGTTAATACAATGTAATCATCAGATTCAAGCTCTTCTATATACAAACAAAGTCTGGCTCCCTAAGAAAACATCTTGGTTTTGCTTCATTGTGACAAAATACCACGGGTAATACATAACACTTTATTAATTCAAAGAAAACAGATACATATTAAAACACAATTATCAATTTATTAAAACAACTCTTTATTATTGGTTCGAGTAGTCCACTACTGATGTCTTCCGTTTTGCTAGAAAATACAGAATAACTGTAACATAATTACTTATTTCCACGCAAACTGTCATCATTTTGTAATTAAACCTAATTTTACTTGCTCAAAGCCCCGAATAGAGTATCAATTGTAGCCGTGATTAAGAATTATTGCAGCTATTAACACGGATGAGTACAGATAATACGAATTAATCACTACTCAGTTATCGTTGTTTTAACTGATTGTCTTTGATGTGCTTCATGGTGAATTGTTTTAATACGTCATAATACATTGTTATCATATACCGGTGACAGTCAAGATTTGCTAAGAATATAGTCCCCGTGTCGAACCCAACAGCTCAGGTTTTCGCGCGTTTCTGACCACGTGACTAACGCATTGCGGAAGTGATTTATGGCGCTGTGCTTTATGGGGCGTTGATTTAGTTTAACTGAAGCTGCGGGTTATGAAGTAGTGTGTAAAATCTCATCGTACAAATATATAATTTAAAGTTTGGATTTGATAGCAGCCAATAATTGGTGGGTTACATCTAAGTTATAGACGAAGATGTAATGATACGTTTAAAAAATTGTAAGTTGTTTATTTTGGCATACATTTTCGCCGGCGTTATGTATGTACATGTATACAGTGCGTTGGGGAAAAAAATCCTAACCTATACAGAATGCCGGTAAATGTCTCCCCGAGATTACCTAACTCATTTGTTATTCAAATCGGCCTGTACTTTAAACATATTCCCGGGAGCATTACTATATTACAACCCCTTCAATTTACAAATGTATTATAGACAATATTAGTTCGACCCTAGCTTAAGGTAGGCTCGCAAATTCCTTGCGGGAAGCACGGCAAAGCACGATGTACTTTTACCGAAACACGGTGAATTCCTAGAGAAACACGGTGAATTCCTAGAGAAAACACGGTGAATTCCTAGAGAAACACGGTGAATTCCTAGAGAAACACGGCGAATTCCTAGAGAAACACGGCGAATCTTAGAGAAAAATCGCCGCCGAATTAAGCGAAATTTCACCGTGAAATCTAAGAGAATTCGGAGTGTTTTTTTTCGCCGCGTCGGCGCGATTCTGGTCTCAAAAATTTGGTAGGAACTGTAAATGATACCTGGGATACAGTCTTATTCCTGAGTCTGAAACGTCACCTATCCGAGTCCGAAACGTCACCTATCCGAGTTCAAAACGCCATATTCTTTTCAGGCATGGAATTGTTTGTGATATCAGAAGGTAACAGGTCAGTAATATGAAAAGTCATTGAGCGATTCGCTTGAGATTTGTGTGTTAGGTCATGGCTAGCCCCCCTTAACATCTTCTGCAAATTTCAAATTTCTTCGACCACGGGAACTGTTAGGTATCACGTCATTTGGGACTCAACATAAACGACATTTGGGACTCAGTTGACGACGTTTGGGACTCATTTGACGACGTTTGGGACTTGATTGGCATCATTTGGGACTCAATATAAACCACATTTGGAACTCTTAAGAAGTTATCTTTTTTCGTTTTAGATGATGTCCGAAGACAGATTAAGAATAATAATAAAGAAATTAAATTCAATCTGTGAATTATGTATTTTTTAACGGTATTGTTAAAATAAATTTTATTCAATCTGTCAATTATGTATTAAATAAATGTATTGTTAAAAATATATTTTATTTAAATCGTTGGTATTTTTTGATTATAATAAAATATAGGCCTACTTATAATTCAATTGGCATATTGTGTCCACCATTTTTTCTCGAGTCTCAAATGCCGTATACCCGAGCCCCAAACGTCGTATACCCGAGTCCCAAATGTCGCGGTCAAATGACGCGAGTCCCAAAGTGAAATAACGCCGACATCTTACCATTGTGATGTTATGACCGTTACTTGTTGATGTTTACAGCTGAGGTCTACAGATACAAGTTGATTTAACGCTTCAAAACAATAATAGCCGGTGAGGGTTTAACAATGTTAATTTCCACAGACGAGAAGTGAGTTTGCATAAAGAAAACCGCCCTTCTTCGCTATCCCATGTTCATTTCCGGAACAAACATTGAAATAGTTGTATATTGAAAGAAGATGCGGATCTATCCTACCCGAATAACTCATAATAGGCCATTTCGTCCCATCAATTTCTATGAGATTATAATCTCAACACAAACCAAGACATTTGGCTGGAGTATAGGGTTCTTTAAGTTGGACAGGCATGTTTAAAGTTGGCAGTGGCTATTGTTACGACGAGTCAGCTGTCCTTGTCAGGCCCTCCGTCCTGCATCACAGACAAGGGGAAACCACGCCGGAAAATCGTGATGAACTTTCTCGGCCAATGGGTATCCAGACAACTCATCCCAAAGACAATTCATCCCAAGACAACTCATCCCAATATAAGACAACTCATCCCAAGTTAGAAGACAACTCATCCCAACAAATATAACTTATAAGTGATATTTGTTTCAATACAATTGCTATCTTTGAAGACCACTCAGACCATAACCAATCAGAATTTGTTATCTTAATCAAATTGATATTGTTGTTTTAATCAAATTGGTGATTACTCTTTGTTTTATTCCAATTGATATTGTTGTTGTAATAAATTGATGATTACTGTTTGTATTACTGTTTTAGTACTTTGTTGTTTTAACACATTGGTAGATGTGTTTGTTTTATTCTTTCATCATGAAGCACTTCAAACAAAATCAATTAACAAAACAAGGTGGTATCCAGACAACTCATCCCAAAGACAATTCATCCCAAGACAACTCATCCCAATATAAGACAACTCATCCCAAGTTAGAAGACAACTCATCCCAACAAATATAACTTATAAGTGATATTTGTTTCAATACAATTGCTATCTTTGAAGACCACTCAGACCATAACCAATCAGAATTTGTTATCTTAATCAAATTGATATTGTTGTTTTAATCAAATTGGTGATTACTCTTTGTTTTATTCCAATTGATATTGTTGTTGTAATAAATTGATGATTACTGTTTGTATTAGTGTTTTAGTACTTTGTTGTTTTAACACATTGGTAGATGTGTTTGTTTTATTCTTTCATCATGAAGCACTTCAAACAAAATCAATTAACAAAACAACGATTAACTAAACTGAGTTGTAGTATTTACCCCTATTACAAACTAATTAAATTGGTGAAGCACATCAAAGACAAATATCATAATGCTAATTACAATGGTTTGAGTAAGTGTCAAAGCTGGGGTATTGTATAAAAATACTGTTCAGTGTGACGGGTGTGAACGATGGCAGCATAGGACATGTAATACTGGTAAGACTTTAATGTTGTTTTTTAAATTCAAAGCTATTGTATTAAATTCAACACTATTGTACTAAATTTGCCCTGATGTCGATATGCCAGAAAATATCCAGGAAAAGTAAGTACAAGCATAGTTTATCACATCCAGAACAAGTTTTAGTATTATCCTTATCCTATATCAAATCTATACAAGTTTTTTTATATTGTTAACATTCAGTTTTTATTGTATTTTTATTATGAACAGTTCATTGACGGATGAGTCCATAGGCGACGATTTATCAACAACAGAAGCAATAGTGACATACAAGGTCGTGGATAATGGTACCGAACGAGGGAAAAGGAAGCTTGTGTCCAGTGACGGACACACCTTTACCATGAAAAGGCAGAACAAGGGCAGTACTGAATGGCGGTGTAGTATTCGCAACAAAACAACCCTCTGTCCAGTTATTATAAAGGAACGAGTCGGGACGTACAACGCCAACACAGAGCACTCCCACGCCGCCAAACCAGGAATATTGACAGCAGTCAAGATCCAGGCTGAGGTAAACATTTATTATATTTTGACATATTAAATTTCATTACATATTATAGGCACCTTTGTATTATATTAAACATTGTATTATATTTTGAAATTAAACATTGTATTGTATTATATTTTGAAATTAAACATTGTATTATATTTTGAAATTATATTATATTTTTAGTTGAAAGTAAAGGCACCTATGACACTCTTCGAGCCAGCACAAAATATTGTTGATAATATCCTAGCTGAGCATGTGGATAACAGAGAACCAGAGGCATCCATCCAGGCGGTTTGGAGAAAGATCCAAGAAAACGGACTTCAGGTATGTTACTTTTGAAATAATTGAGTATTTGAAAACGATATTATTATTTGATATTATTCACAACTGTCTGGTATTACTCACAATTAGTCTATGTTTTATTCACAATTAGTTTTTTATATTTTTGTAGACTGCTTACAGCCAGAAAGATGCTGTATATAAGTTTTTTAGAAAAGTCCTTGCCTTGCCATTCCTACCCGCTGAACATATATTGCCAACATTCAATAAATTAGAAGAAAAGGCCACAACCGATCAAATTAAAGTGGTTATGAAATACATAATGGATAATTGGCTGACCAGTAATATATGGACCATCCCAACATGGAGCGTGTTTGGCAGGACAATCCGAACCAATAATGATGTCGAGGGATGGCATAATCGAATCAACCAAAAGGCCAGAAAAGGGAATTTACAGTTTTATCTACTGATATCTTTGTTGTATAAAGAAGCAGCGCAGCTACCGACACAAATGAAAATGGTCTCAGAAGGAAAATTAAGAAGACACCAGAAAAAACAATCACGAACTACACAAAGCAAGTTATTTCAACTTTGGAATTTATATACCAGTCAGGAAATAAGCACCAACCAGCTACTAAAAAGATGTGGGGGGATATATGGACCGAACTGAAGGACAGACTTACGTAATAAATGACTGACTGAACGACAAACTGACAGACTAAATTACTAAATGACTGGCCTAATAAAATGTATTAGTTGATGATATTGTTGAGGTTATAATAAAATGTATTATTTAATAAATTGTTGATGTAATAAATTCATACATAAATGTATTATTTAATAAATTGTTGATGTGATAAATTCATACATAAATGTATAATTTAATAAATTGTCGATGTAATAAATTCATACATAAATGTATAATTTAATAAATTGTTGATGTAATAAATTCATATATTAGTGATTATTTGTGGTATTTATTTGTAACTTGGAATGAGTCGGGTGTTTTAAAAGTTGGGATGAATTGTCTTTTGACTTGGGATGAGTTGTCTTTTGACTTGGGATGAGTTGTCTTTAAAAGTGGGATGAGTTGTCTTTTATTGGGATGAGTTGTCTGGGATGAGTTGTCTTTGGGATGAGTTGTCAGGGAATCGGCCAATGCAGGGATCGAACACCCGACCTCCAGGCTAGCGAGCCAGCGTCTTACCCACTTAGCCATGTGATCCCCTGCAATAGGCAGATTTAGCTCTTGTATAATGTATGTTTAAAACAGATTATGATTTATAATCTGTACCATTTTATAACCGTCTGCTGTTTTTTTTAAAACAACCTTTCAGTGTAAATTTATATTTTTACTTAACTGTAAGCTATTAACTTTTCTGATCTGTTTACATATAAACTCATAAAGTCTGCGCTTGTTCATATAAATTTCAATTATCCAGGCCAGGTACGTGTCCAAAGAGGGTGGAGGCTCCAAGGGATGCAGCCCCCCCCCCCCCACACACCAATTCCAATATATGTATGCACCTAAATGTGCAGAAATACCGTCTCATTGATCAAATTTGTGGTTAGTTCCCCTCGATCTAACACCAAACTTCACCATGGTATAGGATCTAACTGAAAAGAAGATAACATTTCAGGCTCAATGAAAGGCCTCCAATAGGCAGTAAATGAAATGAAATGGGCTCCTATACTGGGCTAATGAAGACGGGGATGCGCCATACAGTGTGCTATGAGGGAAATTTTGCCCAGGCAGCGGCGCTACTGCCTACTCTTATATCAAATTCCAACTGCCAAGGGATCTTTTACGTGCACGCCAATTTGTACACGGGACCTGCATCACTGACAAGGTTAAACCATGCCGGAAAATCTGGATGAACTTTCTCGGCCAATGCAGGGATCGAACACCCGACCTCCAGGCTAGCGAGCCAGCGTCTTACCCACTTAGCCACGTGACCCCCGGCGTCATACGTAGGATGTGGCAACCGACATGTGGAAGGTCCGCTTTCCACGTCTGACAAAAGACCCAAGGTGCTACATTTTTTTTCAAGTTCTTTGTCATCACACAATAATTTTTGTCTGTAACCATTTTTCTTTATTAGAATCGCCATTCCAATTATTTTCCATTCACAGATAACAAAATATTCCGTACATATACGCAAAACGTATCCATACAAATCTCTGCTCATTATTAGCTATCAAACTTTTAACTTATTTTCCCAGTAGGACGTTAAACCCCATTTCATTTCATTAAATTTTAACTTATTTTCCATAATGAAACTATGTGTTACTACGATATATATGTAACCGGTCACATACATGTAGGCCTACTAATGAACATGACAATACGCAGAAGATGGCTATGCCTTTATTCGAGTGATTTAACCACAAATGTAGTTTTAAAATACCTTTTTATAAAGAAGAAAACAATATTTCGACATCACATACTATTCTTACATGTATTTCAGAGGTTTTGCTGTATAAACAAAGACAAATCATTTTAGAGGAATATTTCTGGCCTGAGTTTGAAGTAGGTATGGGTCTGCATGCTCTCTATCGAATTATGAAAGCTTCAATCTCATCTATTCAAACATTTCACTTTTCTACTTTGTACACTAAAATTCCCCATAGTAAATTAAAAGCCCGGTTGAAAGACATTATTCACTCACAGTGTCTTTTCGTCTAAATCAGGTACTACTAGATATCAATGTTTAGTTGTAAATTACAATTCCACATATTTCGTTAAGAATCACAGTGATTCCAAAATCAAGATAATTCAGATGTTGGATTTTTTAATTGATAACATCTTTGTTGAATTTGGAGGGGAAATATATCAGCAAGTGGTTGGCATCCCCATGAGCACCAACTGTGCACCTTTGCTTGCTGATCTGTTTCTCTATTCGTACGAAGCCGATTACATACAGACGCTCGGGAAAACTAATAAACGATCAGTCAGACTTTTTAATTTCACTTATCGATATATCGATCACGTTTTATCACTTAATAATCCTAAATTTAGTGATTATGTAGAATTCATATATCCTGATGAGCTCGAAATTAAAAACACCACTGACAGTGACAATTACGCTTCCTACTTGGATCTGCGTCTCGATTTTGACAATTGCCATAAACTGAGTGTTAAATTGTACGATAAACGTGATGACTTTGACTTTCCGATTGTTAACTTTCCATTTATTAGTAGTAACATTCCAATATCACCAGCTTATGGAGTGTTTGTGTCTCAGCTAATTCGTTACGCGAGAGCTTGTTCCTTTTATTCTGATTTTTTAAGTAGATCGAGGCATTTGTCATCTAAGCTTCAACTACAAGGATACTTGCGCACTAAACTTATTGAAACCTTTAAAAAGTTTTATGGCTGTCATATTGATTTGATTGGTAAATATAACGTGTCTCTCTCGGCTATTATTCTAGATACATTTAATTGACACGTATACTATTACTATCTCCCTGATAATGTCTACTACATCGTTAACACAGTTCACCGCGTGCATTTTGCATACCGATAGTTCATTGGCCAATCACGCTATTTTACCGACATTTCGCCTAATAGTTAGGATGAAGCTATGGCGGGTGTGGCGCAAGGCAGGGTAAGCTTACTCTTTCGGACACCTGTTACCACTGTTTGTCGTGTATTTTTATATACGAGGAGCAGTCCATTTGCTGATTACACTATTTTGCTTGAATACACTATTTTGCCTATAACGTTTTTTAGGACTTTGAATTCTGTCTTATGGTTTGGATTGTTCGCACTTGGTTTTATTTTATTTTGTAGCATTATTACCAACATAAATTTGAATACTGTACAAGAATTAAATATGAAACATAGTAAGGCGCATCTATTTTTATTTCATATCAATCTGAATATATAGTTGACACATGATTTTTAATTGTCTGAATCTGTCTGTCCCTTTATTTTTGATAAAAATGTTTATAAATGAAACATTTACCACAATCACTGGACCCTATCTCTATGATAAAAATGTTTGTCAATGAATCATTTACCACCAGCTTTAGTATGAGTTTTAATGGGTGTTAGTAAATTACTACTCTGTAGTGATCGGATTTCAAAAATTTTTTTGTCAGACATTTTTACCGAAAATAAAGAGGCATAACTCGCACTACTCTGAGGTTATGAGTTTTTTGGTTTTTTTTTTACCAGAATGAGTTCTCGTGTGTCTCTGACAGCGACGAATGATTTACTACAAACATCACATCACGGTTTTGTTCACGGCATACACTGCACCAATTGGATATATTATCTGTGAGATGGGTCTTAATTACCACCTGTATGCGGATGATACCCAGTTACATGTTGAACTTGATCCTTCACCAGATACCACTACATCAGAACGAATTAGAATCTGGATGCAATGCAATTTTTTTAAATTGAACGATGACAAAATAGAAAATATAATAATCGGGAATAAAAAGAACATTGACACCAACCATGTGACTATTGGAAGCACAGCCCATCCAACAGTGTCAGGAATCTTTGCGTGCTCTTTGACTTGTCCTTTGATATGAAAACCCATGTATCCAGGTTGTTCAAAAAGGCGAACTTTCATCGGTATAACATTGGGAAAATTTGTTCCTATATTGACCTTGATACCACTAAAATGTTAATAAATGCCTTTGGTATGTCATCTTTAGATTATTGTAATTCTTTATTGTATTCTCAACTTAAAACGCTTGTAAGTCAGCTACAGAAAATCCAGAATAAAGCAGCTTGAATTGTATCTCTCACCAAACCATCTGACCATATTACACCTAAAACAGTTACATTGGCTACCGGTTAATCAACGCATCATTTTCAAAATTAACACAATCACATTCAACTGTTTAATCGATACTTTAGCACCATCCGATTTGATTAAACAGTATGTACCTTCTCGTTCCTTACATTCATCTCTTAAAACTAACTTGTATGCCCAGTACAGAAGTCAAAATTTGATGAGAGAGCTTTTGCATACGCAGCACCAAAAGAATGGAACAAATTGCCTCTGGAAGTCCAAAATAGTCCAAACTGGGCTATATTTAAACGACATCTAAAAACCCTATTTTTTACCCAAACATTTGAACTAAAATTTAAATGCCTCACTTTCCATTTGTATATTGTAACTTGACTATTCCTTTGTTTATTTGTATATACATGTATGTTTTTTATAATCATATCTACAGAGTGCCACAGAGCAGTCAGACTGACTGAATGTTCAGCGCTATAGAAAACGATTATTATTATTATTAGTATAAGGTTTTCATCAGAATGAATTTGCATGTATCATAAAGTCTGTCATTGAGTCAACTGGCGTGGTTTCGAATCCCCGGTTGTACGTGACAAGGAGTAGGGTCGCCTGTCCAACCTCGTGGATTTTCTCTGGGTCCTCTGGTTTCCTCCCACTGCTAAAGACCCCTACGCACAAGCGAATTACTGAAATAAAATTAAACCATATGTTAGTCCCGAAATGACCTAGTTTGTGTCAAGTGGACGTTAAACCCCATTTTTCTCTCTCTCTCTCCTCTATATAGGTGACACCTTATCTGTCAATGATGTACCACAAACATCACATTGAAAAGGGGTTTTCTCTCCTGTGTTGCTGCAGACCACTAGTGAAGGATTCAATGCAAACATCAAAAATGTGAATTTAACCACAAACATCACATTGAAGACGTTTTTCTCAAGTATGAATTTTCATGTGTCTCTGTAGGGTAAAGGGTCTACTGAATGATTTACTACAAACATCACATTTATATGGTCTTTCACCTGTATGAGTTCTGGTGTGGTTCTATAGAGTACTACTATCAGTAAATGATTTACTACAAACATTATACATAAGGTTTTTCACCAGTATGTGTTCTAATGTGTGTTTGTAGACTACTAAAAGCAGTAAATGATTTACTACAAACATCACAATTAAAAAAAACTTTTCTCTGTTATGAATTCTAATGTGTGTAGACTACTAAAGGTAGTAAATGATTTACTACAAACATCACAATTAAAAAACTTTTCTCTGTTATGAATTCTAATGTGTGTTTGTAGATTGCTACTGGAAGTAAACGATTTACTACAAACATCATATTTATAAGGTTTTTCCCCTGTATGAATTCTCATGTGCTTCTGTAGATTATT